CTTGTGTCCTTGGTGGCATATGGTGTTCTCATTTGATGTTGTTTGATTGTGGATCAGTCTGGGTCAATTTAGACCGAATCCAGGGAATATGTTGCTGAAGCATCTCAGATATTGTTCAGTCTTAATAAATGTGTTCATTCAGGATGACAACTAAGTTCTAAAAATATTTTGACTGAAATTGAATTTGACTGAATTTCAACCTCAAAAAAATATCTTGTCTGTTTTTCTTTGTTATTTGTATGTTGTGATACATGTAAAAGAAACAGCAGTTAGTTGAAACAGAGTTAGCTAGCAGCTAATTTGCATCATTTGCATCTTCTTGGACAAAACTCCCGGAACAATCTCCATCGGGTCGCCATGCCTGTCCACCGATCATCTGCCTCACCACCAGCTTCGCCATCTGCCGTTCCCCTACCACATGTCAACCTGTCTGTAAACTCCAACCTCCCACTGTGTCCTGTTAGCATGAGTGTTGTTTGTGTTAGCTTTCTGTAGTGTAGTGTAGTGTAGTCTGTCAGTTTTTTATTCATTCCTGGCGTAATAGATACTATGTTCGGGTTTGTGCTTCTGTGTATCTGCATTTAGTTGTTAACTCTGTTTCTGATAGCATTTAGTCCTCCTCACCTGCTGGCATCACCAGTGAGTCTAGTTCCTGTTACCTTTGACCCTGTTTCCGCTACCTTTATATTGTATATATATTTTGTAAATATTCACTTGTAATTTGCACGTTGGGTTAAGGTTTACTTGGTGGGCACATTCGCATTGTATATAGATATATGTTTCTGATTGTTAATGCAGTGTATTTACGAAGCGGACGCACGCAGACATTCATTCCATACTCTTTAATAGCCATGCTTTTCATCACAACAATAACAATGCGCATGCGCAACCCAGCCACCCGGTCTCTACTGTGTTCACACTGGTACAAAAAGCCATGTGCCCATAACATCACACAATTATTATATGGTGAATACACCACATCATTCCCCTCTTAAACTGTGAAACAGTAAATAAAATTATTCCATTAAACAGCTGAAAATGTAAATGAACACACTGTTCCTAAAAGAATAGCAGTTTTCTGATAACCCACAACAGAAGTATTATGTAGCCTCAGTCGAACCTGAAAATATGTTAACATCCAACATTATTCAAGTATAACATTCAGTGTTTTACTGCATTAAGTACATTCATATGAATATAGTGCACTTAAGGTGTACTGTTTTATGGCATGAATCTCGCTGGTGGATTCACCACTCTTTTTGAGCACCTAAGAACCACTGGTATAGGTCCCAGGGACTCAGGAGTCAGGCTAGCAGTATCTGCACCATCCTATGTACTGCTACAGCCTTCACCAAGAGATAGTTCAGTCTGTAAGCCCGTGCCACCTTTATCAGGGTCAGCAACAAATCGAGGCCACGTCTGGTCTCCCTGGCATCTGTGTACTCTGTCAGAATCATGCTCTCGGACCTCATACGACACAGGACCAGTCTGTCTCACCACTTGTCCAGGAATCCACTTGTGTC